ACATAATTAACGAAATATTTAACGAATAAATTAAAAACAAATATTTTTTTCAACTTAAACAATTAAGATAATTACTTAAAGAAATAGTAAAAGGAAAAATCGAATAAATATTATTCAAATAAACAATCGAAATAGAGTAATTAAATATGAAATAAATAAGATACATAATTAACGAAATATGTAACGAATAAATTAAATTGAATAATATTTTTTTTCTTAAACAATTAAGATAATTACTTAAAAAATAGTAAAAGGAAAAATCGAATAAATATTATTCAAATAAACAATCGAAATAGAGTAATTAAATATGAAATAAATAAGATACATAATTAACGAAATATGTAACGAATAAATTAAATTGAATAATATTTTTTTTCTTAAACAATTAAGATAATTACTTAAAGAAATAGTAAAAGGAAAAATCGAATAAATATTATTCAAATATGAAATAAATAAAACACATGATTAACGAAATATTTTTTTACTTCACCAATTAAGTTAATTAATTAAAGAAATAGTAATCTCTCCATATTGTTAGTTAATATATATCGTTGTCTCACTTATTTTAAAAGAAAACAAACAAATACATGACACATAGAAAATACATATGACAAATGTGATAAAAATAAAAAGAGTAATTAAACAATGTGATAAAGATTACATCCGATTTCAATTCAGAAAATCACAAACACATTACAAATAGAGAATGCATATGATTTATATAGATACTTCACATCCGTCGAGTCATTGTTTAGTGGGATCTGGCTTGTACAAAATCGACGTGTATGTCCTGTAGCGCCGCACCTCCCGCACTTACGCGGTTGTGGAAACTCTCCTGTAGATGGTATTCTAGACGTCCGTCTACGACCAGGAGTACGCGGTGGAATTTCAGGTGGCAACAAATTATTAAGTGCTACAATATAATCAGGAACTTCCCACTCGGCTTCATTTGGTAGAGGAAATATAGTTTCGGCATACGCTGCTCTCCAAAAATCAGTCATATAATAATGACTGCACAAGCTGTGTGGTGGAAATCCTCTATACATAGCCACTGCGACAGCATGTGCACATGGAAAACTTTCCAACTGAAATTTTCTGCACGTGCAGGTATTGTCATTCAAGTCTACAATGTATCCAACATTGCGCCCGCATCTCACGGAGAAGTGAAATTGATCTAGTGGTTCCACAAATAGAGCTTTTGCCACTTCCAGAGTTTTGAATAGTCGATCTTCCTGTGCCGGAGCTAGCACACTCGTGCAATTTTGGGATTCTTCACGTCGGTCATAAAACCACTGTTGCAACTTGCTGCGAATATGTTCTATCATTGCGAGAATCGGTAACTCTCAATCCTTCTTGAATAATGCATTCAGCGACTCTGCATTATTCGACGTCATCATGTTGTATCGACGTCCTGGAAAATGTGACCATGCCCAATGTTCGACCCCTATTTCTGATAGATATTCCCATGCACTTTCTGATTTATGTTCTATTTCGCCCATGAACTTTGTAAACTCTTCAAAGCTGTAAGCTTCTGCAGCTCTCCTAAACAATGCAACGACGCCACTGTCCCGGTACCTAGTCTTCAGATTGCCCTAAATGTGGTACATGCAATAACCATGATGTGCTTCTGGAAAAATTTCGGCTATACCATTTATTATTGACTGCCCCCGGTCAGTCACAAATGCAAGGTTCTCGATGTTCCCAATTACTTCTCTCAACTTCGTGAAGAACCAACGCATTGCTAGATCATTCTCTCCATCGACAATGCCAAATGCAAGAGGGTAAATTTGGATATTGGCATCTTGACAAGTAGCAATAATCAACTTTCCTTCATATCTAGCTCTTAGGGTTGTACCATCAACTAGAATTAGAGGTCGCATAGCATTTCGAAAACCTCTAATGCATTGTCCAAGAGCCATAAAAAAATACTTGAAGCGATTCTGCCCATCGGTTTCAATAAAAAAATGCCGAGTCAGAATTAGTTCTCACCATGTTGTGGCAATACCTGGCCAATTTATCATTTTGACGAATACCCACTTCACAAGTATGTTCCCGCGCATACTTACGAACAATAAAGAACTCATTTGTGTCCATCTTTGTCGCACTCAAACGCCAACTGCAATTGTTGTCCACACAAATAATTGTGTATGTAGACTTATTTGATTTTTTTACCTTAAACTCAAAATTATGTTTCATTGCAATTCGGTGCGCGGCTTCTTGCAAATCTCTTTTCGTGTCAAACAATTGATCGACATGTAAATCTTCATCATCAGGAACTACACGCGAACAATTAGAAGACCGTGTACTCGGCCCAGCATGTGAGCTCCCACCAGACTCATGTCTCTGTCTGGATAAAGCAATCAAATCCTGATTTGTAAATGGCCTTTCATCCTCGTTGTCTTGAACTTCCTCGTAAATCCTTCGTGTAACGGTGACATCATGGTGAGTAGCAACTGCCCCAAGAATAACCACATCATCCTCCCGAGCAATCTCAACAGTATCCCAAAAATCATTCTCATTACGATCCTCTCCATCAAAAACTTCGTGTTCACCCTCGATGACATTTTTCTTCAACAAACTTAGGCAAATAGGAGTCGTCTTTCGACCTTGGTTCAATTGAATTAGATGCTTTATTTGCGCTTCAGAAGTAACTTTCAAAGGTGGAATCGAAATTGTTGAATGCTTTTGAAATAAAAATCCCAATTCCATATTGTATTGAGAGGAATCGACGTTAAGCATGTTTTGTATTTCAATGTACATTTCTGTAAGCGAAGTATTTTTTGTTATCGTAATAGCAGCAACCCCTTCTCCTTCACTCGTCCATTTCCATTCCCATTGACCATTTTCTTTCCTTTGAAATTCGCCGAAATAACAAATTGGGACACACGCTTTTGCCATATCTGCATTACGAATTAAAAATATCAGAATAAATTATCAGAAAAAATTATCAGAATCGAGGGGCGGGGGAGTCTGCAAACGGACGGTCCGGACCGTCGTTAAATCCGTCGTTCCGACATCTGATCGGTGCCGGCCTGAACTTTGACTCTAATATTATTTTTTCTACCATTTAAAAAAAATATACGACTTCAATAAAAATAAAATTAAATACTACGAAAAGATACTTACCGAATTGAAGTGCTGAAATTTAACTAAATTTTTCTGTTGAGGTTGATAACTGATAAGTTTATGAAATTTTGAGGTTGAAGTGGATGAAAAATGGAAGAGTTTTTATCGTGTTAGAGTAAACTGATGAAAAGACTGACTTCGTTTTCAAATTTCAATTGAGCCTTGTTTGGATTTTTATTTGTAACTTAAGGATATTTTTGTATTTTTACCATATTTCTATTTTTGTAATTATATAACTCATTTAATGGCGTTTTAGTCTTTTACACAAGAAATGGCTATTGTGGTGAATGTTAGATTTTTATGGTTAAAATGGAAAATGGTTGGTTTGACAAAGCTATACTTAAAAGTACCCCGTCCTAAGCCCCAGTTCGAGTATATTATTTTCTTTCTCTTTAATAATCATACTCATTTTCAGGTACATATTTATATAATAAAATATTTTTAAAGTGAATTTAA